AGCAAAAGAACATGGAGTTAAAGTGTTGCCTTTACCACCTTATCACTGTGAACTTAACCCAATTGAACTAATCTGGGCTCAAGATCTTCGTCAACTATTATGTGACTCCATATCAAAAATTTCACCGGACAATTGGCAAAACGCTATAAATCATATCATGGTAGAGGAAGATAAATTCTGGAAACTTGATATGTTAATAAAGGAACCAATCATTATTTCTTTGGGAAGTGAAGAAACTGATGATGATGACTCCTTATCGGGAGAAAACGACTTATTTATTTAGGTATTTAACTCTATATTTATATTAATTACTCGTATAATAAGTTTGTATGACACTAGTACCTATAATACAAACAAACAAATGTATATGGAATCACTCTGTATTTCTAAAAACGAAATATGAGTGTTTTATGAGAAAAGATTTTTATTGCAAAGATTTTTTTTAGTATATCATATAAATTTTAGGGAAATATCCTAACCTCATATACAGTATACTATTTCTATGAAAATAAATGTGGGTACTGTTACCTTCTTTTTAATTTCTACGATGTCAATTGTACTTAAGAGGTGATTTAGCCCAAATTGCTGATACTTCGTGGGTTCATAAATTGACCAGGACAATTGAAATCAGAGTAGCTTGATCGGTTCGCGAGCCAAAGTCTACTTAACGTTAAAATAAAAGATACTAAAATGCGGTAACGACTAAAATGTTGAGCGCCACCAAGTTTTTGAGTAACTTGGAAAACTTATCTGATTTGATATATCCTGTTTAATTAAGTCAGTCTCTGGTACTTAAAGTTATCTGTATGAGTTCTGGCAAATAAAAGAAAGTGAGAAAATTTAATATATTTATTAAAATAAGTAAAAATAATAAATTTGTATTAAATAACTTAATAGTTAATGATTAAATTTGAAAAAATTAATTTAATGAAGCTAAATAGATGTTTAATTGTCCCGACCATGTGGCATTATAATAGTGGTACTTCCCTGTCGTATGTCGTGGACAATCCGCCTTTGGAACTTATACTTGGAGCTCGCACTTGGAACTCGGAACTTGGAGAAACTACGTAACTCGAACTTGGAGCGTATAGTTTCTTGAAACTTAAAGCTTGGACTTGGAAGAGTTTCTTGGAGCTTGAAGCTTCTAGGAGCAACTACGTTGTAACCCCCAAAACGTTACTTTAAGTTCGGTTGTCCCTGATGTCAACCTTGTAGCTCCGGTTCACTCAAGTGGAGAAGGGAGTGGGTGATTACTTCGTAATCAGGGAAAAATAAATTATTTTAGCTGTTCTGTTAAATTGGACGCCAGGTAGATCTATTATACCAAGCCACTACAAATCAGAAAAGTCCTACTATTAAACCTACCAAATAAATAGGAAAATAAAAGACAACCTTAATTCAAACCTTGTTTATTTCCTAATTGGAAGATAGTTTCCCCTTAGTTAATGACCCCTTTACAATTAGAGCGCTATTAGCGCCTTCAAACAATTCATATGCTAGAAGGACTAGATTTTAATTACATACCTAAGGGCTAATCATAACCCCAAATTAATACCTGTATTTACAATATTTTAGCGCAGTGTACAGAAATTAGACAGGGTTAGTTCATTGAATCTCAATAAAATCAATAATATTACTTGTCAGTACCCCATTACAATCCCCAATAAAATCAATAGTATTACTTGTCAATACCCCACGGTCATTAGCGTTGGATCCAAGGCGAAAGACATATCAAGCGCAACTCATAGAAAAGGTTAGCTACATTTAATATTAAAAATCCTGTAATTTCTCTATAATACAGAAGTTCATGTCCAAAATACTTATAAACTAAAATAGTATTTGTATCACTAAACAATGTAAAACATATTCTTATCATAAAACACTCTATGAAATATGATATATGAACTAACCATGAAAACATAGGCAATGAGGGCCTTTAATAGCATATGAACACGTTATTTATTCAAATAAATTCATAAAGAAAACTGTATACATATACGTATCAGTTGTAGACTAAATAATAAACCCCAAATTATAACCGAAATGATAGACAAATAAATACAGAATTTCCACTTATCTCCTGGTCCGTGCTATTCAAGGCTAGCGTTGCCGCCTTTGGCATGTAGTCCTATGAAGCCAAATCTCTGCTGTTCTAGTAAAGTAGATGAGGTGTTCGAACCCCAAGATGGCTGTTCTTCGTTAAATAGGAGGTACATAATGAATACCAGTCAGGAAAACGCTAGTACTAGGCAGTATCTTCACTACCAAATAGCTGCACCGTGCCCAGCAACAGTAGCAAGCAACACCGGTACCAAACAACACCGGTACCAAGCAACACCGGTACCAAGCACCCTCTATTCCGGAGGGTGTAACTTCGAATCACAAACAGGAAATGAAATCTGCTAGAACTTCTTAAAAACCAATTCTCCCTTCAATATATGACCCAATTACGATCGGTCTCCAACCATCAAACTGCTCCAGGACGACGAATGGGTTAAACTTCAATATTCAATGCTCCTCAAAATGAGATGAGAAAGCCGGCACACAATCACAAAAAAATAACGGTCTAACTACGCGTTAACCAACTTCAAAACGTACCATAAATGCTTCCCATAAAATAGAGACACTTTTACTAGACTCCCTACTCGGGATGATATACATAATCACATAAAAAAAGTAAAAAGTCTCTCAGCGAATTTTCAGTTCAACACCGCCATTAACATTCCCTGTTGGAGTGGAAGACGAAGCTGCCACGTGTTACAAATTACGCCGTTCTTCGCCCCCTAGCATGAAGCCTCGACCGCGCAGAATCACTTCAAAGAAAACCCATTAAAACCAATCGCCACTCTCTGGAAATTATTGTTGGTTACACTGTGCGACCAATGACCTCCTTCATCTGCTAGAATGCGACCATTCGCATTCAGGCTGACAGCTCTGCTAGCGCTGCTCGACCATTAGGAAAGCCCAAAAACATGCCCATGAAACGCGAACATCGCTTAAACGAGCACTCCTTAGTTCACGAATCGCTGGCGTATGAATCGTGGTCAGACATACGACGTCCCTTGACTCTCCGTCAAGCAGAGAGAGTGAGGCATTTCCTAAGAATCACTTATCGAACAAAGATAGACATCTCGAAATGCGACAGGCATACTTCATTATTCAGAAATGACATCCGACATCAGTTTTAACCTACAAAATACCAAAAACATTGTAAAAAATACCTCTACGAGTGAAAAGTATTATTGAGAATCATAGTGATATTCAGTGCAACCTTGTAAAAATTATGTGAGCCCTAAAGAGGAACATTTACACCAGTTACGCTAAACTCCTTTTAAATAAAATCAACAAAATACAGAGGTTATTGTAAACAATATCTTAAGAGTGAAAACTACCATTGAAAATCATAGTGAAATTCAGTGTAACTTTGTAAAAATTATGTGAGCCCTAAGAAGGAACATTTACACCAGTTACGCTAAATCCCATTTGAATAAAAGCTGTGTTTTCTCGAAAATATAATAAAGTTCTACGACAGGAGCATATTCAAGGTAATTTCTAGATTATAAGTGAATTCTCTGCTAGTTTCGAGACATAAATAGGCGATAAGGCATAACGTTCGATTAAAACCGTTACAACGTAACTCGGACTTCTTGGAGCTTAGATATTCTTGGAGCAATTACGTAACTCGGGACTTCTTGGAGCTTAGAGCTTCTAGGAGCAACTACGTAACTCGGGACTTCTTGGAGCCACTACAGGTTTAGAAATAAAAAGAACCTCAGTAACAGTAAAAGTTACTTCTGAACAGAATATAAAATATCAGGTCAAATATTAAAGTTACATCATCTAAACAGAATATAAAATATTTATAAGGCCAACATAAGTTATAACAATAAGTTTTACATCATCTGAACAAAAATATGAATTATTTATAAGGCCAAAATAAGTTAAGAGCCATAGATTTCCGTTTAAACTGTATTTCCAGACTGACTTGTAATTCAAGTATTTAGTTGCCTCCCCGCGTATATATCAAAGTATCAAAGAAAGCTTAAAAATGTTAGTAGGTAGGGTAGCTATAATCTATGTAAAATAAAATAAAACAGTAATATTAACCGGCACTCGTCAGCATGATGGTAATAAAAAAACTAAATCCAGCAAAATGTTAAAATATAAGGTGAAAGAAACATTACCTGACAATTATCCCAATATTAACACACAATAAACACATAAAAGACAGGATAATTATGGAAAACTACTCATAGTAGCAAATTTGCCACGTTGAACTCGATAAACCAAAATACCGGTTGAATCCACACGAGTCGAATTTACCTCGGCGAGGTTGTTTAAAGAAACACTATGGACCGTGCGCAAACCGTACTTTGCAGCAAATTTCGAGAAGGAAGCGAGCGGTGATCGTTTAAGTTGTGTTACGAGGGGTTGTTAAAAATAAATTTGAAGTTAATTTATAATAAATTTCACGTACCAAATATTGACAGTTTAATATTTTTTATATTAAAGTAATTTCTTGTTCCCCGTTACTCAGGTATAGTATTATAGGTTAATCCCTTAGGGTTTGCTCATTTACATTTTATAATGTATTGTATTCGAGCTTTTTTGGGGTGGTCATACCAAAATCTAGTAAAAATTCAGATAAGAAGGCATCAATATTTACTTTTTTTCTGCTCTGAACAATCCTGTACATAGACCTTTGCCATAAAAATTATGCTATCATGCATTTTCAAATAAACAATAACGAATACTAACATAAATTTCTATTATGAAAATTTTTTATCAAGGTAAATAATTAGAGATTATAAAAGTTATTAAGTATATTTTGTAGCCTAGGGGCAAGGTAAAAATTCAAATACAAATATTGTAAATTACTTTCTTTTGGTCGATTTCATAACAACAATTTTTTTTAAAATTGTAAAACAAACGTTTCTCGACATGTGGCCGGTCGCCAATCATAATGGAACTTTGTTTAATAATTATTTCTTTATTTTTAGTTAGGTCTGGTATGTTTTCGATTGAAAGGCAGCGATAAATTAAACGAAAAACTATTGAGTAATATAAATGCTTCAGGAAAATTGCACATGGTCCCTTCAAATGTCAATGACAAATATGTGATAAGATTCTGCGTTTGTGCTGCTAATGCCGAAGAAGAAGATATAGGTAAGACAACCAAGTATGAATTAACACAATAAAATAAAGTATGAAACTAGAATGAAGATATATATTGCTTGGCATTCTATATTATACTCTTCGCAGTTTAACAAACCTTCCTAACCTCCTCATTTTTATTTTTATTTTATTCAGAATCAATGGGCTTCATCGCCTTATAGAGGTTGGTTTCAAGTTGATATCGTTTTTTTTCTGAGTTAAGTTTTTTTATATTTCAATCACCCTTAAACCCCCATTTTTATTCAGATTTTTTTTTTCAAATTCAATAGGCTTTTTTTTCTCATAGAGCTTCATTTTACTTAAATTTCATGTTGATCTCGCATTTCGTTATTGATTTTTATTTTTTTTTTTTAATTTCAACTCTCCTCAACTCCCATTTTTATTCAGATTTTTTCAAAATCAATTTGATGAGAAGGATTTTGGTACAAACATTTTTAATTTTGGATCAATATTAAAAATTTTGGTTTCTCGAAAGTAAACCTATAATACTCTTCACATACTACTGTATGAAAAGTACAATAATAGTACTTTTATAAAATATGTTTTTCTACACTCACATGTATATTATTATCTATTTTCTGTACCAACTACATACCTAATGAATATACTATGTCAGCCACTAAACTTTTTCCAATACGCTTTGTCCAAATTACAAAGAGTTAACATTAGTCGAGCACGAAACGAATAATATCAACGTTACCAGTTTATATGGCCCGACAGCGTTGAAAGGTTGGTAACATATTTTCACATAATAAACGAGATTTATGATGCCTAAGTCTGTGCTAACAACAGTAGAGTTCGCTATTGCACAACATATTTCTTCTTAATAAACGATTTTTGTAAGACGGATTTTTTGGATTTTTGGGATTTTTAATATATCAACACTTAATCTTAATCATATTAATTCAATTGCAAAACAAAATGAAACGTGCATTTTTAGCCGCTCAAGTTCTAGAGTAAATTCGGCTCAGGATGTGGAATATACTCCAGATCCTAAACATAAAATGGGCTGGGAGCAATAGTGCCAGTGTATTTTAAACAGAGCTAATGGATATTTTCATAGCAGCAAAATAAATCACCAGAAACAATATCACTGACATGCTTATGCTCATCTATACAGATAACAGACAAGCACTACTCAACTGAACATACTACGACTTTACTCAGGGTTAGTACTAGAATGTCACGAAGCTTTGGCCGAAGTGTCCATCAACAATGTGGTCACCTTAAAATGGGTCAAAGGTGACGCCACATCGAAAGGTAACCGTCTTGCTGATTCACTAGCCAAGAAAGTAGCCAACCAAATACTTTTTGGACCTGGCCATTCTAATGGCCTGACAAAATAGGTATCGACATACCTAATTAAATAACTTTTCTTGTAAAATTCAAGGAAAGATGGGATGAAACAAGAAACTGCAGAGTTTCCAGGGAGCTCTTAAGTTATCTTGACAACACTGCAGCAAACAGCTATCAACAAAATCGTAAATTCCTGTAAATCTCCAGTAAATGCTAGACTTTATGCTGATAACATAGTAATCTTTATAAAAAGAAAAAATATTCAACTGATGCAAAATATGTTACAAAAAGCTAGAAGGTGGTGGTTTTCTGAAGAAAGACTGATCAAATGTAACCTCCAAAACCAGGGTTACGGTGTATAGATTATCGATTTCAACCATTCTGTTTTCGGTTTCATTCTAGTGGAGATGAGAGTGGGTCACAAATGATCGAATTTTTGCTCTTAATAGTTAGGGGCGCCAAGCTAATATATATTTCTGTAGATTCCTATGTTGTATTACCTATTAAATAGCTAGACAAGGTAATTAAAAGACGATATCTCCAAAATACACCGATTTATTATATATAAAAAATCCCGTAATACTAATGAGAGAGGAAAAGTAGAGAAAGTAACTCTAGTTGATATATAAACAAAAAATAATTAGGATCACTAATTTGGCACTCAAAAAAATATATACTTATAATACAAAATGACTTACACCGTACATAAAAAATAATAACTTTGCGGAGTACCTCTGTTAGCAGAGATTATAGACACAAAAAATAAATGGGACGGACCGTTAGCTTCTGGTACCAATAGCAAGCGTACTTCCGAAGTTAAAAATAAGTTTCCCAACCCCGTTAGTTTAAGAATTAATTTCCGCTTTACACAAAAATATATATTAAAAATCATTGATCAAAATGGTTATAAATACATAGGCGTTCGTGCCATGACCCAAATGAGAATACTTTAAATTAAATATCATAAATTAGATTTAAGAAAAACAATTAATAAAAATAATAAATCGGTGAGTTACCAACAAAAAAAAAACAAAACCTTGGTATGAGTGAGTTCTAGTCTTTTGATGCACAATAAATCAACTGTTTGCTAATAAATAGAAAGATACTAGGCGGCAAGCATGTCGATAAAAAAACTCTTACTTTTTAATCGAAAAAGGGTCCACTATCCTAAAATATCAGGATACAACAACCAAAAATCGTCGAGCAATAGGAAACAATGAATGCCACGATGTTCTGCAATGGGTTCACAATCCAATTAAATCTGTCCAAAACCGTAAGGGAATAATGACTACTACAACAAATCCAGTTCACCGAAAAATTCAACTAGCCATAAAATGTCCCTCAGTACCAGATACCTTAAGACCACAGTACCACCCCCAATATTCGTAACATGAACTAATTTTGATAGATGTCATTTATGTGTCATAAATTAAGAATCCTTTTGTTCAGCAGATGGAGCAATATTCCATATTTAATAGTTCTTTTGTTCAACAGATGGCGTAATAATTTTATTAGTTCTAAACGGTAACTGTTATAAATTACCTAACAAATTCATCACCCCTAGCTACTACGCGATAATAACTAAACGAGTTCTTGACCTTGACAAATATTTTCGATGAAACAGGTATAAAAATAAAACTTTTGCATTAGATTCGGCACGTCGGTATATTTATTTAGTAGCAGCGTTGGGTTTATTAGTACAATTGTACTAGATTCAGTACATTTCAACCATTCATAAATGCTAGTACCACAAAAGACAAAAGTATCTAAATATAGTACATTTTAAATATTTCGCTGGATCTTCTAGAATCTAGAATAATGTATTCTATGATTTCCAATTTCTATGCTAGACAGTAGATACTTCTGATACTCCCAATGCGATACTTTATACCAGGGAGGCTATTTTCAAACTCGAGAAAAGTCATTCCTCTCAAGAGAAATGTCATAATATGTCAACGTAAAACAGTATTTTTAGGGCCCTTGGGGCCAGTGTGAACTCACAGATTGTTTCTCTCGGTTTATTTAGAGGGAATACAAATTCTCGGAAGAATTTTAATCCTCGAGGCCTTTAAAACAGCGTTTCCACATTGACGTACGACATTTCTGATGAGAATCTTGAGAGAAATGAGTGCTCCCATACTTTGAAAATAATGGGTAAGAGATAAGGGAGTATGAGTCTTCATATAAGAGACATAAATATAAGATACGCTCCTAAGCATATGCTTAACAACCACCAGCTCGAACGCAGTTAACATCTGGCCCACTATGTGTCGCTATCATCGATATCAAACAAATAACCCAGCGGGAAATTTAAAAACCTGATAAATATCGACTACACTTTCATGTTCTAGTAAATAAATTTAAACATTGTTAATTACGGTAAATTATTTATTAAAAAGAATACTACACTTACAGTCTATTAAAGATTAATTATTGTAAATCTATTGACATAACAAATATTTTTTAATTTTTACCCTTATTTTATTTGTTTTTCTATAAAAAATAAGTGTTTGTTTTTATTTTTAAATTTTATTATTTAACCATATAAAAATATATTTTTGTTTTACGTATTTTAATTTATATTTTTTTGTTTAAAATAAAGTTTATTTTGGTTTCTTTTTAAATTTTTTATTTACCAACGTAAGAATATATTTTTGTTATACCCATTTTATTTATTTTTTGGTTTAAAATAAGTTTGTGTTCTCATTTGAAATTTATCGCCAAATCTAGTACGTTCTGGTACAATCACGATCTGAATTTCAGTACAAGCTGTTGCTACTAAAAACCCAACGCTGTTTAGTAGTTCATTCTTGTGTCCAGTCAACAAAGGACAATGGTCTTCGTATCATTACGTAGGGACCATTTATACTATACATAGTGTTTCGTTAAGAATGGGATATAGAACAACTGACGATACTCTGATTAAAAATAAGACAACTAAACAAATCATGCTTAGATAAAATGTTTCTTGGTACCGAGTTAGGTGTTAAAATCCAAAAAATATTTATTGCTTTATTTTTTTTATTACTTACAACAATTTTACTAAATTTGGCAAACGTTTTTGGTGTCAAATTATCCACCTATCAGCAAAAAAATAAGTTACCTTAATTAACTTTTCCAGTGGCGTACAGCATTCGTACGTAATACCGCATACCTCTTAAATTTTACGTCACTATCCAAAATGTTATTTGGACATAAAATTTTAAATTTTTTGATGTTTTTAAAATAAATAATGTACTCTTAGAAATTTAATAAAAAAAAAATCGAAATTTAAAAACTACAGAATTTTCTAATATGTGCGAATATCTCAAAAACAAACTCAACTTTATTTAAAAAACATCAAAAGTGGACAGTGGACTAAAATTTAGAAGGAAAAAAGATGTTACTGGCCCATGACGTACGCCACTGGCAAAGCTTATTTAACTTATTTTTTGATGATAGATGTATTTTATTACACCAATAACGTTTGCCGAATTTAGTAAAATTAAACTGAGTAATAAAAAAATTGTAGCTATTTATAATTTTTGATTTTCAACTTTAAAACTCTGTTTTTCGGAAACAAGTAATGTTTAACCTACGGATGTTTCGTTTAATCGGCTTATTTCTAATCAATTAATCTTCAGTTGCTCCCATTCTTAATGGAATACCATGTATATACCGAAAGGTCTTACAGCCAAAGAACCAAATAAAAAAAG